ATACAGGTTTGTGTGCAGAGTAATTACACCACGACACACATAAAAATACAATAACAATATATCCTGTTGTGTTGTTATAATGTGTATTACACTTACATCATAAATTCGCTGAACAGGCAGAATTGAGGATATCTTATTTCATATTCCAAAGATTACCATGACACCAAATTATGTATACATACTGATTTAGTTCAATTATATTAACAATTTATATGATACCATACAAGGTATCTGTTAGGTCATATTTCCCTCTTGCACACGCCTAACTAAAGGGGACACAATAAAATTCAAAAGAGAAAAAATGCACTAATAGACTTCCATACCAGGTTTCGCTATTTTAGATCTTCATAATACTGTTCAAAATTTTCATATTTTGACCCGGGTGAACATATCAATGCCAACATATCAAATATGAGAAACACCTGGTAGTACTTCATCTAAGACAGGATGACGTTGGACGTTATGGAAAGATGAACGTAACACACATACAAACGGTTGTACCTTTAACATTTGAAAGTACATGATATACGAGAACTGACTACACTCCATCTTATAGCTGTTTCGTCCTTCTAGGACTCATCGGTGATGTTAGAGACCAAAAAGTTGGAAATCCAAATTCGTCTCAACTACTATTTACACAAAGAGGAGGTGCATGAAACCCCATTATGTATTGATTTATAATTTATGGAAATATTTGTGAAGCTGTTCACCTATTTTTCACATTTGACTTAAATAAAAAAGAAAAATAATAAAATTGAAATTATGCTTAGATGGTTTAAATAACATATCCAAGTAGCATGGTTCTAAATCTTTCGGTTCTTTACAGGAGAGTTGGTTGACTTTCTAACACGTCTGCCCCCTTTAATACTGAACGTACGTTATGGTAATTTAATAAGGTGAATATTTACAAGACATGATCCGACCAGTAACTGCTTACCGGTCATCATTTCCCTAAAGATATCAGTTTTTGTGAAAAACCGGTTAAAAGAGACAGCTGAAAGACGAGCGGCCGGCAAACAGGCATTATAAAACACAGTACACTCACAGACACTTAGTGTCATCTGAGGCAAAATGGTGTAAATAAACATGATTGCCGAAGCATCAAGTACGTATCGTAATGTACTCTGTCGTATATTTATATAATTGGTATACATTATACACACAATACCGTTCCACTTTGGTTTAATTTAATGGTTACAGTGGTTATACCAGCACACCAATTGTTTCCCGTCGTGAACAAGTATTTAACACTAGTGCAAATCAATAAAGACTGTATCTGTCATTCATTATACGATCATAAACAGCACCCATAACTATAAAGTCCTACATGCATAAACACAAACAAGGTATAATAGCGTACCTTCATATTCAATAAATCAGTAAGTCCGAACCAATATCCGCTAGTCACAACTACAGTTAACGTTAGGTTTGTGACGTGACACTGACTTAAATGATATCACGTTTGTCCGATAGAAGTATGCAACTTTGAGGCATTTGATAAATTTACATCAGGCGAGAACATTAACTTCTGGTCGATGATCTACACTTCTAGCCAGCATATATATAATTAACATAGCAACCACAAAAACACCTGAGTAAGGTTTTGTTTTTGTCTGATGCTATATTTTGCTAGAAACCAAACCTACAGTCACATGTTCTGTTGTTGTTTTTTTCTAAAAAAAAAATGTGAAAAAAACAACTTTTAAAGAGGAGAACAATTTAGGAAAACAATCTTCACAAAAACCACTGAAATGTTATCAGGAATAATTGTGTTCGATTCGCAACACAAATGAGTAAAGGATTGTATTACAAAAATATTTTAGAGACTTTACGTCAAATATTAGGGTCTTTTGTCAATTGAGGAGACGAAATTAGAAAGGAAAACAAATGCCTAATGGTTTGGTTACTTTGGAGCTGACTGAACGTAACGGGGAGGGTAAATGTGCCCCACTTTATTGTGATTTTGTATGAGTTTACATTTGAATCCATGAATCCGATGATTAATGAATGGTAGATCTTTCTCAAAACTATACAACGGGATCTTTAACGTTGACAAGTCTCACACGGTACACTATTGATATCAAGTCCTAAAAAACAGCAATATTGGTAACATGTACATTTGAACTATTTCTTTGTGGTCCATTCTTAAAACCGTTCCGTGTGATTTTGTACACTGCAGAAAATTTCATTATAGACAGTTTATAAAAACGTTTATACACACATAATTAAGTTATTGTGTTAAGTTTCTGTCACAAGCGTCAGTAATAGATACACGTTAATACACGCATATGGGATAACATGTCGAGCTTCTTTGGAGGGTAGCTTGTATCTGCGTACATTACAGAATAGCACAAGGCCACCATGGCCATTCCTCTGTCTCCTCTTCGTCGGCAACACAGTATGCCAGTGCGGTTGAGTGCCAGTCCATTCTGCAGTTTCATTGCCTTTACAATTCTGATAACGGTTGCCTGGTCTCGGAAAGTGTCGATCCAAAGCTTGATCAGCGTCTCCACTCTACGTTTAGAACCGAGGTGATCCATCTCACACTTCTCTATGTCAGGGACTGAGAGCCCAAGCTCCAGAAACAGGTTGAAGTAATTCTTGCCTATGTTGTCTACAAGGCCCCTTATTTCACTGACGTCTAGTTGTCTGTCGAGTCCCTCCTCGTTAGAGTCCATGTCATCTGCAATAAAAAAAAATCGGACTAACAAGTTTTCTTGAGATATACTACAAATGCGTCTGAACAGTATTACAAGTAGTGCTACTATACTTATGTTAAAACGAGTTATTTTAAACTTGACAACTAGGTTCACCAACTCCAGAAATCGTGCTTAGTGAATTGTATTTTTCTATATGTAGATTACAACAACGTTCATTTGTATTGTTTGCTTGACACGGATAAGAAAACGGATGTTTTGGGTGGTCGGATGGCGCAGTGGATAGGGCACTAGTGTTAACAAACCTTAGATGTTTACGAAAGCTCCCAATATAAGTTCCCAAATAGAAACTGTTGTACAAATTTCCAGTAAGTGTTTAGTCTGTTTCAGTGAGGTAGCACTATAAAGTCGGCATCAGTTCCGCGCTATCACAAGGAGACAAACACGAACTAATCGCAGTCTCCCAAAACACACACGCATACACTACACGCATGCATCTTGCACACAGGATAGACCGTACTTAAATGACCATAGCTGATGATAGGACGTTCAACAATATTAAGCTAAACCCAACCAGATACTTATTTACAGCTGAGTAGACTGGAACAAGCAGAGTAGAGTATCTTGCTCAACGATACCACACAGTGCCGTGCCGTGCCGTGCCGTGCCGTGCCGTGCCGTGCCTCGAACCGGCAACACTTCGGGTACGAGCCCGGCTTTTACTCTTTTGACTAATTATTACCTAGAGTGACACATTCCCAACCAGTCTCCACGGTCATGCCGAGATTGTCTGTAGCCATGTCGACCTCCGACATGGCCTTTTCGATGTGACGAAACGTTTGATTAGGATAGGCGTATGTCCACTTCAACAACATCCTGGTTATTTGAGTGACAGCTGCCAGACTCCTTGCTTCGTGCTCTGTGTTTGATATCTCTGGTAGGGACAGGCCAAGCGCGATGAAGAGTTGCTGACATTTGGACGCCTCGACCATGTGCGATAGACGACCTAGCTCCTGGGGTGTAGGCCTTCTATTAAGGCAGGTGGCCTCTGATGAATTAAACAAACACTGTTAGCAACGCTGGTTATTTCTCTTTTTGTATTGTGTTTCTTCAATTAAAAGCTGCAGTCACGCCTATCATTAGTCATACAAGTATAAAACTTGTTTTCTATGCATCATAGGTTGCCTAGTAAACTCTATTTGTTAGTTTGACATAAGATACGTGTGTATACGAAAACAATTTGAGACGTTTTGTATAACTATAAATTGAAATACCTGTATTGTATAACTACACATTGAAATACCTTAAACGTACTTACCGTCACTGGATTCAAAACCCTGTACTTGTATGGTAACCTACAAGTCGAAAATAAACAGTCAATTTCATGCAATCCTATTCATGTAATATTTTTAGTCTACAGTTACCGAAGATGTGTTATGTACAAGTGAAGTCGTCCAACAGCAAACATTTTATCTGCATAACTTAACAACTTAAAGTTTGATTCCTCTATTTATGTACGTATGATTTAATTATGTTATGCCTTACACATGCAATCTTCTGGCTCAAGACTCTTTATTCATACCCAGCTATTGTTAGGGTGCTGATATGATATTGGAAGATTGTTTCCTTTTCATATCTTACTAATTTTCTGCATAAAACATGTTTTACCTTTGTTATACCCCAAAACAATAGATCCGATTTGTTCAGTCGGTGTTTTCGTCGACATTCTTCTCCTTTACAGAACATGCCTCCCTTTGCGTGAATGACGCTGTAGAGCTCTACAGGCGTGTCGTAAGGACTGAGATGGAAGTTACAGTGCAGTTTATGTGTGTACTGAAAGTGTTCCTGGTTACTCATTTGTAGAGCTTTCTGTAAAATCCGCTCCAGAGTGTTTCTTACAAGTGGCCCAGAGTCCGGAGGAAGTTTAGATTCAGAGGGACTGAACAATGTTACAGCAATTGTAGACCGCTCCCATTGCATCGACAAGATCATCCTGCAAAGATCGTTCACCTCGAAACAGCCAAATCCTCTGTAAAGATGAGTCGTATCTTTCGTCGTCAGCGGGTCTGTCCCGGGTTCGTCTTCTATGCGTCTTAATGATAGTGATGCTGTTCTGTAAGTCCTCATGATTGTAGCAAAGATTCTGTGAAACAGCTCTTCTGGTACAAAGACATCATGGAATATGAAGCATAATGTTTGTGAGACAGCAAGATTCCTCTTTTTAAGATAATTGATGTCATCGGTGATACCATTGATGTTTTCTAGCTCTAGAAGTTTGCTGGGAATGGTATACGCCTCACTGAAGCGAACATCTGCTGTATTGGGTTCCGAAATCAAAATCCGTACCAGCAGGCCAAACTTTTCCATCAAAGCCAGGAGAATTGACTTATGGGGCAAGAATGCTTTATTTTGATCTAGGCAAAGAAAGCTATCGATCAAATTCGGAGTCAACTCGCCCTTTGTCTTGTACAACTCTAAGTCTCGAGCCAGCACGAGATCGTCTTTTGGGAGAAACTGATCGTCGGTAATCAGGAGGCTGAAGCAATCGGCAAGCCACTGTGGATCGTTGATGACGTGATCGAATTCCCGGAAATATATCACAGACCTCGTGCAATGAAGATACCTAAACAGAAGTAATATCAAGACTCAGCAAGTTTTATTACATCAAAGATACTTTTTGNGAATTCTTCTATATCACATATTGTCTGATGTCTTTTTTGTTAATTATGCCACATTGCAAATAATTGTAAAAATAAAAACGTACAATGAAACGATAGGATGGTGATCTAAACCACTTTGTTGTTATTTTCCTAGAATAAGACCACTAGGAAGGGAATTGTACATCAATTAACAGAGTATATACATTCATGCCCAGCAATTGAATAAATTGTTTGAATCTTGAACATTTTCTTGTTAGAAACCACGGACTAAATCCCTTTTTATAACTATATTCATTTCAATACCGGCCATCGTTGATTATACAAATGTATTTGATCAGTAATAGTCTTATATAGACAGTCTTTATAATCAGAGTTTATATATCTTGTATTCATAAGTATGAAGACGGATTTTTCATTTATAAGCAATTCCCCGTGAATACTAGTGTCACTTGGTATTAAAAACATGATTTTTGAAATCGTAACCAATTTTCCAGATTTGAACCATATCCCCCAGGTGCCAGGATATGGTCATATTTTTCATGTAATCTCTATAAATTTTTAGTAAAGGAAGCTTTCACGTAGCAAACGAACTAACAACTTGTTCTTGATAAGAAAACGAACTAAGTATGTGTTAAACAGTGAATGCTGAACAATGCTTCAATGAAAACACCCTGTAATCATTCACAGTTATAATATTGTTGCATTTGGTCAAACAGTTAAATATATATATTACTCACTCAAGGGCCAGTACGATCTCGTCATCATCCGCCAGTGGGGCTATAGACATTTTGTTCATTTCAATCACCTGCGCCAATGTCAGTATCTTAGCCCCCTTTTCTCTTTCTTTTAGCAAATCCATCTCTAGCTTTAACCATCTGGTCGGAAGTTTCCTGTCCCATTGATCCTGGTGTTTAGCTAATTCTATGATTGTTTCCCGCAATTGTTCCAAGTTTGCATCAGAATCGTCGGTAGCTAATGGTGGAGGTTGATTCTGCAATTCTGACCTGGCATCATAAAGCAATCTCGGCTCGGCTGGTTTCGTTCCTTGGCTGTTATCGAGTGTACAGAACCTGACAAACTTGTGAGATGAAAGTTCGGGAAATTTTGAAATGCTGGACTGTATTTTCTGTACCTGTTCCTTGAAGTCCTGGGATGAAAATTGAAAGATAATACTTTAACATGACATGCCATCAAAACTGTTTCATTATGCATAAGTTATCAATGATGTATACTATGCTTAAACCAAATTTTGTTGAAAATTTTAAATGCAGAAATATAACAATGTTTCAAAGAAATTACAGAGATTAAGTAACATTGCTTGTTTTGCTGATATCTATATTTACAATAATAGTAAATAATTAAAACCCATACTTAAAAGACGTGTATTTTCCGTCATCGTACAATATGTATATTTTGTTAAATAAAATCAAGTCAATACTGTTAATTTGAATGGCATATGTAACAATCACTTTAATACATTTAAATAATAAAAACATAAATAAGATACATGACAAAAAAGCATAGCGTTGCATAGCACGGATGAAACATCTTATACAAATATTGTCAAAACAGTTAAAAAATATCATATATTTATAGAATAGTGCGTTTGTTTGAGTGGCTATACTGGCGATTAGAACATGAATTTTGGTTTGAACTCGAGACCGATAGGTCGGGAGTTCAAACCAAATTTCATGTTGTTTTCCCTTGTATAGCCACTCAAACAACGTACTATCCCCATTCTAACGCACCTTAACAAATAAACTACACTCATATATTTAGAATCATTGTATTTACTTGCTACAAGTGCGTTGTAAAGAACTCTGTGACCTGTTTTGGTGACCTGTCATTCTGCAGCGGACTGACCAATCAGAAAGAGGCCTTTTAAAACTCGGTCATTTGGCCAAACAATAAGAACAATGATTTTTTACATTCTATTTTTAAGTTATTCAACAAATACATTTCATCGGTTGATCATGATTCTATCGCAGATAAGAACATGGTCCTTATGTAATCAAAACAGGCGTTGCAAACAAATGATATTAGAATGATAAATTGACCCAAGTTATCACTGATAACAGACCATAGAGCATTGTGATCGGGACAACCTCACCTAAAAACTTCTGGATGTCGTACAGAATGACAAATAAGAGGAAATGTGTAATACGACCCCTGAAAAAGTACATCACTCACTGTAGATGATTTCCTCAATTCATCGAGGAAGGTGCCGACAAATATCAGTGGAGGTTCATGTTCTTTTAGCTTCGGCGCATTCAATTTAACAGATGAAAATGTGCCGATCATTCGAATCCATTTCTTTAGTCTGTCTGGACTCAGAAACATTTTATGGTGATTTTAAGTACGATGATAAATGAAATTTCATCAAAAGAAATCATATTTATGAAATAAGGTTTGTCACACATGGGTGCGACTTTTACCACCATATCAAAGTTCATAATTGTCAGTGTTTAAGTATAGGAGTAATTTGATAAGCGACAAAACAAACAAAACAGCAAAACTGCTGGACACCACATCATTTGATAAAAGTCACTACCATACAGATGCTAACTGAGGAAACGGATCCTGCATACTTCAGTTTATTCTCCAATTATTTCTATTAATGACATTCAGTTTGTCGTTCAGAATATTTTATTGGCGCTCAATATCCTCACATGGTTCACTATAGTCACTAAATAACCACACAGACACGGAAATGTACATTTTTTGCTGCACGTTTAAATGTCAACATCAGTTTCATTGTTTTGTAGTATTGCACAATGATACACCTCTGTTAATATATGTTCTTTTAGCCTAATCCCTTGCACTATATTTTTGTCTGTAGATCTAAGGAGGAATACTCCAATGTATATCTAAACGAGTAGAATATATATATAAATAATTAACGGGAAAACTGTAAAAACAATTTTTCATTGCATTGAAACAAAGTAACGCGTCGCAAATATTGCTTCACGTGTGGGAATTAACAGCGTTATATTTGACGTCGGGTCTAAATACATCACGCTTACGCTTGACATCAAATTACAAAAATCATACCAATTGTGTAGTTATATTAACACCATCAATGTATGCTGGAAAGACGCATCAAATCAACCACGTATTCCTCCGTCGCAACATATGAACTTGAAAGTTAAAATTTACGTGGTAAATGAAAATAACGTTCTGATTGAATAACACTGAAAGTAAAATCGTCACATTTGATAAGATAAACACTTTCGTATATCTGTAGTGAAGATAAAGTGGGTAACTTCTGATATTTCGCTGGCAATGTGTAAAAATGAATACGGATAAGTATCGGTAAGTTATATTTTTTTGGTAGATTTTTTGTTGCCTAAATTTCCCAGATGGCTTTTAGGCAATGGGAAGCACCGAAAGTAGAAAAAGAGTTATCAAATCAAACCTCGATTAGGGGTTAGGAAAAAAATCGAAGGCTCCCTTAGGTAACTGCTTTAACAAATTTGTATCTTAGGGTTGCCTCGGAGAGAGAAAAAGATAGTTCTGAAGTTCTTTCGTGACATAAAGCAAGTCTTGATGTTTTTGTGATAAACATTGACTGCATTGACAGTGTTTCTCTTCATTTTCATCGATTGTGGCAATAAACCTTCCCTCCTAACTATCTATAAATGGCCTTTGTACACAGGTTTTTCTCGGGTTTTTCTTTGACAGTGATCGCACAATCGTGTCAGCTGCGCTGTTTAGTCCTTGTTTGTATCGAACAGATTTTTTTCTTATTGTTGCATTTGTTAACCTAGGTGAATTGTTACGCAGGGCATCGACCGTGTGATGTGTATGCATTCAAATGGTTTAAGGTCGGTTATGTGGAAGTCATGAAAACGTTAGCATTTCAAAGTAAATGTCAATGCTTTCATTTTGGTTTAAACTTAACGCCGCTTACTGTCGCTTTCACTTTCGATATGTAAAGCGTGTCAGTTTATATTGATTCTGTTATACCGGATGATATAAAATCATCACTTAGAGCAAATGGCTGTTAATCCCTGTTTTAATGGTTTTTCCGAAGTAAAACGGACATTCTATGAAACCGTTTTTTTATATTCCTAGGTCTGTTGTCCGGTCATATATCTAAGATAAGACCAATGTCACTCTACTACTGTACAACAATTTAGGTTTTAATCAATGAGCCAATTATTGATGATCAAGTTTCCAATTCAAAACATTTCTCTTAGATTAAAGCTTTAAAGAATTTGCTTTGATCAATGTATGAACTTACGTCACGTAGTGAATATGTAAATATCAATTTCATCTTAATCAACAAAAATCAATAACTAACAGTGAAACATAAAATAGCCCACCATCATCTTCAAGTGAATAGGTGACACCACCAAAATGTAATTTGAACAATTAATACATACGACAACGAAATTTATATCTTCAGAATGAATTCGTAACTTCATAGATACTCGGAAACAAGAGGCCCAATGGGCCTGTATCGCTCACCTGGTATAAATCTCACGATTGTAATCTTAAAAGTGGACTAAAATACAACTACAGGCAGAATGTCAGTGTTTGATTCATAAGAACCTGTTAAAAGATTTAAACATATGACGCCTGTGACCTTGAATGTCGAACTAGGAGATTAGGTTGAAAGTGTGCCGAGGTCATTCATTTGAACAAACTTGGTAGCCCTTCATCCCAGCATGCTACAGGCCCAATTTCAGTACCCTGGGCCTTTTGGTTATTGAGAAGAAGTTGTTTGAAGATTTTACGACATTTGACCCATGTGACCTTGAAAGTGGGTCAAGGTCATTCATTTGAACAATTTTGGTAGCCCTTTATCCCAGTATGCTACTGGCAAAATATCATGAGCCTGGACCTTTTGGTTATTGAGAAGAAATTGTTTGAAAATTTTAAGACATTTGAACCCTGTGACCTTGAAAGATGGTCTAGGTCACTCATTTGAACAAACTTGGTAGCCCTTTAACCAAGCATACTATAGGCACAATATCAGTTCCCTGGGCCTTTTGGGAATTGAAGAGAAGTCATTTGAAGATTTTAAGACATCTGACCCCAGTGATCTTGAAAGTGGGTCAAGGTCATTCGTTTGAACAAACTTGGTAGCCATTTATCCCAGTAAGCTACAGGCCAAATATCGGTACCCTGGGCCTTTTGGTTATTAAGAAGAAGTCGTTTGAGAAGATTTTAAGACATTTGACCACTGTAACCTTGAAAGTGGGTCAGGTCACTCATTTGAACAAACTTGGTAGCCCTTCATCCCAGCATGCTACAGGCCCAATGTCAGTACCCTGGGAATTTGGGTTATTGAGAAGAATTCGTTGGAACATTTTAAGACATCTGACCCCTGTTACCTTGAGAGTGGGTCAAGTCATTCATTTGAACAAACTTGGTAGCCCTTCATCCCAGCATGCTACAGGCCCAATATCAGTACCATGGGCCTTTTGGTTATTGAGAAGAATTCGTTTGAAGATTTTAACATACTTGACCCCTTTTACCTTGAAAATGGGTCAAGGTCATTCATTTGAACAAACTTGGTAGGCCGTCATCCCAGCATGCTACAGGCCCAATATCACTACCCTGGGCCTTTTTGGTTATTCAGAAGAAGTTGTTTAAAGTTTTTAACATTTTTGACCCCTGTGACCTTGAATATCGGTGAAGGTCATTTATTTGAACAAACCTGGTAGCCCTTTATCCCAGCATGATTCTGGCTAAATATCACCGTATTGGTCCTTTTAGTTATTCAGAAGAAGTTGTTTAAAAGAAAATTAAGACAATTGACCGCTGTGACTAAAAATATGAGTGAAGGTCATTCATTTGAACAAACTTGGTAGCTATTCATCCCAGCATGCTACTGGCCAAATATCATCACCCAGCGCATTTCGGTTATTCAGAAGAAGTTGTTTAAAGTTTTTAACATATTTGACCCCTGTGACCTTTAAAACAGGTCAAGGTCATTTATTTAAACAAACCTGGTAGCCCTTCATCCCAGTTTCCTTCTGGCCAAATATCATCACCCTAGGCCTTGCTGTTATTAAGAAGATGTTGTTTAAAGTAAAATATTGACGACGGACGACGGACGCCGCACCATACCATAAATGCATCAAACAATAATTCAGAGATCAGATATTTTCATTTTCCACTTTCAATTATTACTTGCTTTATTTTGTACAGACTATTTTAAACTAGCTATAATTTTATTGATAAGCAAACTTAATAGGAAATCATATAACTGATATATATATATACATATATATGAAAAGAAAAGAAATATATAAATGTATTCGATGCAGATAAAACTTACACGTTTCCAGTTTGTCTTTAAGAAAATCTGTCAGTCTGAAGACTAACAGGTAAACGCCGTGTGACGAGATAAAGACGTTGTGGGAGGCCTGAAACGACGAGTGCCCACCCATATCCCACAACGATAGGAGAGCATCATCAATGTTGGCACACTGTGACGCTTGTTGAACTGCAGTGCTTTCCTGTAATTGCTGTAAATTCGCTTCAGGATTTCGTGATGACGTAATTGATAAATCCCCTGCGCTGTCTCGGAACCCTAGTGTATTATACAATGAAATTTAAGAACAAGACCTTCAAAATAGTTCATTCTTTACTTATATCATTTCCTCTAGCGATTTATTTACAATATGTATAATGTCAAATTTCCTACATGTTTATTAGATCCCCTCGTGTACAAAAGAATAATCGTACTGATTGCTAGTTACATATATATGTAATGTGGAGTATGATGTAAAACATCTCTGAAATTTACAATTAAATACCTGTCCGCGAACTAGCTGTTCCTGTTGCCTGTGCTTTCTTCATCGTTACACCCATACGTATTTCCATTTCTTCACTAGCTGATTTGTCATCGTGTTGTCTCCATTCTTTAGATATCAAGTCAATCAAGAACCAATTAGGGTACAAAACAGCTCCTACAGTTGGTTCGCGCAAGTTGAGGTCGACATGTCTATATTGAACTCGTTTGCACACCGTGGTTTTACCAGCCCCCTCTCTGCCGGTAAAAACCACGCGTACATGTCGATAAATTTCCACTTGTCCCTCGAACATCTTCAGGTATGCATCAACGGCTTGCAATTCTGAAAGGAAACAACGATAACAATTGTCATCAAACAAGGACAAAGCTCAAACTCATCGTCGTTATAGAAAGGCAAATTCACGTAAATAAAACTGGAGGTCAGATATGCACTCTATTGTTAAGCATTTTCTACACCACACATGGTACTAGTCATACTTATTCCCGTTAAACATACAGAATACACATTTAACCATGATAAACATTCCATTGGAAATCAGGTCTTGATGACGACTGTAAAATGTCTACAAACTAGGATGAAACATCTCAGGTCGCATACCCTAACTAAATAGCATCGTGCATGTAATTATTGGCGATGGGAAAGTTCTACCTATTTTCTTTACCCCTTATACTTACTTAACGATTAATTACGATATATATATGTAATGTGTGGACGGCAATGCCCTTCCGTAAACATTTGTAAATTTAGATATGAAAACAAACAACCTGTTGGTCAGAAGACTACAGGTAAAATGTAAGTGAAATTTCAGGATAAAGGGAATCAGGTAGTGCAAACAAATGTACCGACACACGTTACTGTAATGATTAATATCTAAGTGTTTAGGCGGTGCCAAAACTAACCAATGATCAAGACGGACCAAGGCAGGAATAGACAATGTAAAAAGAATAGATGTTATTAGAAAATAACCAACTTAGGCTTAATTCAACACGTTGGTTTACATATTTCAATTGAGTACATTCAATCAAAAAAGGCTAAGTGCTATTAATATAATATACTCAAAACAACAAATAATTATTCCATGAGAACACATTGCCTCGGCGTATAATCGTTTTTTTGTATTATACATATATAATTAAAGCATAGTAGTTAATATTGACGCATTATGAAATATCCAGATGTTGTTAATTGGTTTTGATTGAAAGAGAGGAAAGAGAAACTTAGTAATCGTATAACGTGCCCGGCTGTAAGAAATTGCTGAATAATTACAACTACAAAATTATCTAAGCATGGAATTTTGTTTGGATTTTCAAGGTAGAGATAATTTTCAATGTGACAAATATCTTAATGTTTTACTTTGTAATATTTCAACACGTTCATATGTTGTAGGTCTAAAAGAGCATGCAGAAAAGAATATGATGAGATATTTTGTCTTTATATCTTATTTCTACTATGCATAATGTATTGCATATAAATACAGGAAATATCACTATACCTAAAGTACAACCTAATTATCTATTGTCTTACAGGCATTGCAATAACGTGTAACGTGCATTGAAGAATACGAAAAAGTGCAAAACATACCAATTGGACATGAAATACGTACATGATGTACATTATTTCACTCGATCCTTCTGGATTTTCTCATTCCGTAATATTGATCAACTGATCTTAACATATTGCACATATACGAGCGTTTTATCGCACAACGTGGCGATCGATTGTTAATCACAGAGCTGTGTACACTATGTATGTACGATGTGCACATCACAACTGTAGTTTTCATATGACGTACCGTCTTAAACTACTTAAACATAAGTATAAAAAATCATCTTATAGAACGTTTCAACCTGTTTTCTTTAATGATACATGTTCAAATGGTTTTCTTAAAGAAATTGTTATGTTTATCGTGATGTTCAAATCGTTTTTGTCTAGCATGCAATTTCATGTATATTAAAGCTTCCAAATATATCCTATTTTTCAATGAACAAAAACCATCGAATACTATTTAGGTAGGGGATCAAATTGATCTTAAAATGCTTCAACTTATTTTCGTTAATAACATATGTCCTTATGGTAATCTATGTGAAATTGTAATGGCTATCGTGATGTCGACACTGTGCTTGTCTAGCACGCAACTACTTGTGTATTTAGATGAAATATGACCCCAGCTAACGAGATTTGTACTTAAATTGGTATTCTCATTTTACCCAAACAAGAAGTGTATAGGTGGCGAAAGCACTTATTGATGAAAAAAAATTAGAATTATGTCAGTATGACTTTACAGCCGCTCACCACTTAAAATTTAATTGCTTCAGTAACACATTGAGCATCAATATCTACTCTAATACCTCATATATGTGTTCTGTATTCTGCTAATTGAAAATCAGGTCATGTGATGATGTTGCCTTTGGGATTTTCAAAATCGATCGCCTCTTAAATGATGCCTTAAAAACATTTCTCCCTCTCCTCTTTTTTCACCCTCTTTAAGTGTGATGCATTGTTGTAATTTTCATTAATTAGCATCCTCCAATGATGTGACATGAGCATTTACGTGCAGAATGGCAATCGGTGAATGGATAATAAAGAATAGGTGCATTTTGTGCTTGTGAAACGAAGGATAATTAACAGTAGTGGGAAAACATGCATGGAGAAAAGAGACATTGTACTCCTTTTATTTTTATTTATTTTTTATTCATATTAATTATAATTATTGATATATGTAGCGACTATATTTACCGTCATTGAATATACAAAATCTTACAAATGTTCTTCGAATAATTTGTGAATTATATTTCTCAATGTATCTTTAACAACGTAAGAGTTATTTCCCTTACACCGAATTGGAAATTATTTTGACACGGCGCCAATTCTTGTCAAACAGCAGCGGCTGTTGTGTCATGTTCTTAAATTATTACACTTTCATAAATCAATATACCAGAAATAGCATGTTGTGTTACAGAAATGTTTGATAAGCATACACAGTTCACATATCGTCTCGTTTCCGAGCCATTACCGTTATCAACCTAAGCACGATATGTCATATTACGTTCCCGTTTCAAACATCAAAATAGAGGGTATACTTCATCACTCATACGGTTTATAAGTATATATATTTACTTCTTCCTTCTACAGACAGCGTCAATGCTTGACAGTCTTCACATGTGCTTTCTCGAATCATATGTGTTTCACACGCGTAACACTCCTCAGACCGCAAACCGAGTTGCTAAAAACGCTCAAACTTAGTGCACGAATTTCACCACCATAACACCCGTAGAATGCACCGGAGATCAACTTTTTTTCAGCAATTATTTTAAGTAAGGATTATTATTTGGAGAGGAGTATCAGAAGACTTTATGTAACCCACAGGTGAGTGTCAGAGATTCTACTTTCTATTTGCGATAACGAAACTATATAGCGGAAACATGCAAGACTGAAGTATGCGCACGCACCCCGAACGGAAGTGGGTCCGTCATTTCGTTCTCTGGACAGAATTAATAAGCCGCTCGGCTCTCGCCAAGAGAGGCTTAAAAATACCATCTGTTGTTAGATCCAGACAGACCAAACAAAAGGTGAAAAGAAATGAACAACATAAGAAAATTAACATAGGTATTATCTGTCAAACGAATACCTATTACATTAAGCTCGTCCACTCTTCAACAATACATAGATATAATTATATCAACTGAAAAGACTAAGCCATTATTGTTATCATAATTTCAAAAATTAAATTTTCCTTTTAAAAGTAGGAAATACACAAATTCATCTTAGAATGTTTCAAGTTATTTTCCTTAATGACATATGTCCTAATGTTATTCTATGTGAAATTGTAACGGCTACCGTGATGTCGGCATTGTGTTTGTCTAGCACACAATTACTTGTATGTTTAGATGAAATATGACCCAAGCCAAAATAGGAATTGTACTTTAAATGTCATTCTCACATGAATCAAAACATCAACTGAGAAGACTTAGCCATAATTGTTGCTATAATTTCGAAATGAACATTTTCCTTTTTATTCATTTTACTATAAACGATCTTAAGCATTTTTTGTCGTTGATCTATGTTTCATTTTACAGCTATTGAGAAAATTACGTAAGCAATGAACGACATAACGTCCA